GAAATTCGATATTTCATATTTAATAAGGGAACTTTGGTAATAAACAATTTTTTACAATTGTTTTGCGAAAATTTACGTTAAGTAGATATTTTAAATATTAACGAGAATATGTAGAGAAACTTATCTGAGAAAATGAAACTCTATATATATCAGACATTTCTATAAAATTTACATAATTGTGACAAATTCTTAATCGAGAGTAGGGCCTCTATAGAATTCGGTGGCCGATCCATCACCATCCCCTCCAATAATCCCAGTAAAGTCAAGAGCAAAAGGGGAAAAACATGGCACTGCAATGTTATTGAGAGCACCCGAGGCAGCACGGTGTTTTGCATTTAATTCGTTGCTCATCGTAGGCGAAACGTGAACGAGAGTTTATATTTTTTTTTGTTCGCTGATTCTCCGTACAGTTTATTTTTCACGGTGAACGTACGGACGGTCGAACGAAAACGGTGGTTTTGAACCGAAGACAAGAAGGTGGAAAACAAGAAGAAAGAAAGAGATAGAGTGGAGATGTGTTCGATCAAGACGAGTCATTGTAAATGTCATGTATTTTGCAACTGGGAATGATTTACGAGCCAGCGAGGAGAAGCGCGTCCGTAGGATTTATATATCGCGACAGTAATTAACGTCCGATCTGCAATCGAGAGACGCTCAGATTCACGGGCAACCCTTTCTACGAGCTTTTTTTTGGTTAGTGGCTAGTCGATCAAGAACATCTGGACGATATACTCAGTCAGCTGTAGTTCGTAACACGCGTTCGCACGTGCAGTATATAATTAAAAATACGTTCGATGATCGTTCGAGAGAGATGTATCGTTTAAATTTAACCATAACCCGTAATAATAACGGAGGGAAATTTGTTCGTTCCTGGCTCACGCTTTCAGGATGTTTATACCGTTTTAATTAAGAAAACGCTAACCGACCCGTTGCGCGACTATTTACCGAGCGATAGCTGTTTAGTTACTCGCCAGAGAACGTACAGATATATTCCAAGAAATAATTGGACGATTTTACGTCGCGGCGAAATTCTGGGACGGCCGTAAAATAAAAACTCACGCTGTGATATATATTTTACTTTTACGTTATTTTTAAACCGGCGATGTGTACAATATACTTGGACAAAGGTTTGCAGGCTTGCTCTTTCTGTGTCTATAGTTTAAAGATTATTCTTGGAATATATTTCAGGTGCTTGGCTTTAATATTCTTTAATCGTTTTCACTTTTAATACTTGCCTAACTATTCTCTGTTCTCATCCACTGGCATATATGTTATAATTCGCGTAATCATTTTCTTTTCCAGGTTTACAAGTTTCGTAATCATATTATAGAATTTGTATACGTGATTATTTGCTGTTTATAAGTCTGTGGGATTTTGTTGATCGCGTGGAAGAATGTCACTAAAGCCTAAACGAGTTGATTTCACGCGAACATGGCAGGCATTACAAGAAACTGTGAAAGGTGTGATAACGTTATCGTATGTTCCACGTACGACATGGTATGATAGATTCAGGTACTTTTTACATTTCTTTTAATTACTATTGTTATTAGACAGCGGATTTTATGCATTTATGATATAATTGAATGTGCTGGAAGTATAGACGTATTATGTGATGCATACATTCAAAAAGCGAATATTACAATGCTTAAATAAGGGAAATTGGAATCGAACGATTTGAAATAATTCTCAAGTGTACTAGTCGTATTGTAATACATCTGTTTTTTTCTTCAAAACTTTTGAAACGTGAAGAAACTGAGAAAAATCTCTAAAATATCGAAGATCCTACTTCAAAAGATATCCCTTGCTGGAGAATTTGCAAATTTTATAAAATTTGTTTAATATAAATTATGGATGGATTGAATTGGATAGTTCTTACTTATATTTTTCCAATAATTTGATATATCGGAATTGAAGAAAAAATACCAGCATGATTAAAATTCATTATTCCAGAATTTAAAAACTATGAATTTTCTCCGAATAGAAATCGTTGTTTTAGGAAGTTGTAAAAATTATATAGTGCACATTATGTTAGGTAGTACATCTGTGAATTTTGTCAATATTTTTGATACGTTTGAATCGGAAAGACAAATTTAAAAAACGTACACATGATGCAATGATAAAGAAAATTGCAATCTGAAATGCATTTTCTTAATTGACAATCATAAATCTTTTATTTTGCATAAAAATCCGCTGTCTAACTATTACCTTGCTGTTAAACATAACGTTCCTCAATTTATTATGTATGGCTCTGTATATTTTATGTTTTAGTGACGTGTACTCGCTATGCGTGGCATATCCGGAACCGCTTGCCGATCAGTTGTATTGCGAAACAAAAAGGTTTTTAGACAATCATGTCTTCCAGTTGTTAACGAAAGTTCGCGCCCAAGGTGAATCTAATTTACTGCAGGCCTACCATCAAGCCTGGACAGAATATTCAGAGGGCATTAATTACTTGCATCGATTGTACTTATATCTGAACGAACAACACATTAAAAAGCAAAAGTTTTCCGAGGCAGAGCTGGTCTACGGCATGTCTTCCGCCACGGTCGTCGATTGCCAGGAACAGATGGAGATCGGGGAGCTAGGTTTAGATATTTGGAAAACGAGAATGATCACCCCGTTGAGAAAGCAACTGGTGTCTCTACTTTTGGAGAACATCCATGCCGACAGGGTCCATACTGCCACTACAGCGAGTACGGAAGTTATTCGTGGCGTCATACAGAGTTTCGTTCGGGTGGAAGAGTACAAAATTAAGGGTCGAGTAGATGTAAAAATCTTTTTGCTTTATATTATTCTATATCCTTTAACTCTCTGTAACGCGTGTCTCGTCTTGAGATTTAGAAAATTATAATTAGACTGCGGGTTTTATGCATGTATGGAGAAATTAAATACAAAAAATATAAACACTGCAAGTAATCCGTAAAAGTAATTAAAGTACGGATACATATGAATTTCCAGCATCTGATCCTTGGGTCGGATAGAGTAATTTTAAAGTGACTCACAGTAAATGGTTTAATACCAGAATATTATATCTGAATTATACGGCGTTATAGAGGGTTCAGTATTTTTCTTTTTCTTACGAATAACTTGTTATGTCACAGTTGTACCAAGAAATTTTCGAGACTCCCTTCCTCGAGGCTAGCGGAGAATTTTATATGAGAGAAGCAAACGAGTTGCTTCAACAGTCGGACATAACGCATTACATGGAAACGGTTACATGGCGGCTTATCCAGGAAGAACTTCGTGCTCATAAGTTTCTTCACGCGAGCTCTGTGCCTAAAGTACGCCCTCGTTCTCAGATATCATTCAGGGCGTTTTCGAAAATGTGGGCATGATTAGTATGCTAAAATAAGAAAGAAAATTCATATGAACATATAGCCCAATATGATCTTATTTCCGAAATGTAAATGTCTTTACCGTCCAGTAATTCTCAGAGACTCTTTTGACTGTTTCCTTTCACTATTTATAAGTAATGCTGCTTATCTGCTATATAGACACTATTATACGCAGTTATAGGAAACAAAGATTACATTTTTTAAATAAATTAAGATAAGAGTGAGAAGATTTATCTAAGACGTTTAGAAGCCTGCATTGAAACCTAGGATAGACACATCGAACATTTTATATGAAAATTATTAAATAACAGGTTTCACATAGAAACAACAATGATTCGGAAACGAGGACATATCGGCTCATATGTTCATATGTATGTCTTTTCTTATATTAGCGTACTGAATCTTTCTCCAATGTGATGTTTATATTTTCGAGAACATCCTGTATTTCTGTTAGTTTGACTTGGTTTGCACAACAATGATACCTGTTGCAGGTAAGACAATGCTGCGAGGAGAAAATGATAGCAACGCACTTAGAATTATTACACACGGAAGGGAAAAGTATGATAGAGAATGAGCGTAGGAGAGACTTATCGCTCCTCTATCCCCTGTTAAGGCCATTATCTTCGGGTTTACCAGTACTTGTACAGAAAGTAACGCAACACATCACACAGCAGGGATTGCAAGCAATTAGCTCTTTGCAAGGGGAAAACGTAAGGAACAATATACGACCTCATTATCTCATTACTATATAAAGAGGAAGCGTTTGTTTGTATGTTAGCCAAAATCTAAAGAAATAACTGAAACATTTACTATGAAATTTGGACAGTAATAATAATAATAATATTCTATTTTAACTTTGCAGCTAAGAAATGTAGACTTGGTTTACATTTACTACTTTAAATCGTTCGTTCTTTTCTTTCGCTCCACTCTCACGCATTCTCTCTCTCTTTCATTTCTATTTTGCTTCATTATCTATTTCTTTTCTTTTTCGACATCTAATTGACTCCATCTGCTCCTTTTTAGATATTCCTCCCAAATTTGAGCAACAATTTTCTTACATACTCCGAAGTGTCATTTTCTATGTTTATTTATAAATCAAAAGATATTATTATGAATAAATAAAACGGCACGGTTTCTTCCAAACGTGTCACCACTGAATACACTCGTAGCTATCTGTAAATTGTTTTGCAGGCGGATGTGGTCTATGGTACTCCGGAGTATATGGTAGGGCTGCTGTCCGGGTTTCGTTGTGGGTATTTCGGTAATTTTTTAGATTTCTGCTGACACACATGCGAGCGCGGCCGCTGCCGGAGATGTTAATTTCATTAATAAAAAAAACAGATTCATTTCATTCGTTTTATTTTATTGTACAGATACACACGCAATTCGTTGAAACCATATTGGACGTCCACCGAAAATATTCGGAATTGATCAAAGACGTGTTCAGAGGTGATCAAGCGTTCGTAACCGCCCTCGACAAGGCATGCTCGATCGTCGTGAATTACACGTCAGTACCGCGGCAACCGCCTAGAGCGCCCGAACTAGTAGGTAACATTAAATTATCGTAGCTCGTAACAACCCGCCCAGCGTTTTTCAACTTGTATATTTCAATGTGTCTCAGCTGGCTAAATACTGCGACTCATTGCTGAAAAAATCGGCGATGGCCGGGTCGGAAGGCGAGGTTGAAGAGAAGCTGGCGCAGTGCATCATCGTATTCAAGTACGTCGACGACAAGGACGTTTTCCAGAAGTTCTACGCGCGGATGCTGGCGAAACGATTGATCCACCAACAGTCGCAATCGATGGACGCCGAAGAGTCGATGATCGACCGTTTGAAGCAGGCGTGCGGCTACGATTTCACGAACAAGCTGCATCGTATGTTTACGGACATGTCGGTGTCGGCGGACTTGAACGCGAAGTTCGCGAACAGTTTGCGGGAGGGTGACAGGAAGAATCAGTTAGGGATCGGTTTCATGGTGTACGTGTTGCAAGCAGGCGCGTGGCCACTGGGCTTGCCGCCGTCCTCGGGTCCCCTCGATATTCCCCAGCAGCTGGAGAAATCCATACAGGCGTTTGAGACTTTTTATCACGCGCAGTTTAACGGGCGGAAGCTGACCTGGCTGCATCAGCTCTGCCAAGGCGAGCTGAAGTTCAATTATCTGAAAAAGCCGTATTTGGTCACCGTGCAAACATACCAAATGGCGTTCTTGTTTCTTTTCGAGCACTGCGACTCGATACCGTGCAGGGAAGCCGCCGCCTCGTTACACTTATCGCACGATCAATTGGTCAAACACGTGTCGAGCCTCGTTGATTGTCGAATCTTAAAGAAATCGACGGATGGGGAATTGAAGGAGGACACGGTGTTGTCGTTGAACTTCGATTATTATAACAAGAGAACCAAGTTTCGTATTATCGGGGCGTTGCAACGGGACGTGCCCCACGAGCGGCACGATGTCGAGAGCACGCATAGAAGCGTCGACGAAGACAGAAAATTGTACCTGCAAGCAGCCATAGTTCGTATTATGAAGAGTCGTAAGGTTCTGAGACACAATCAACTCGTACAAGAGGTGAGTTAAGTCGCCGATTGTTTTTACATTAATTCTCGACCTATTCGTATTATTAGTTTCTCCTGTGAGAGCAAGATCTGAAAATAGTAATTCTATGTCTCGTTCTGTCAATCCTCGATTAACGTGTTTGATTAAATACTAACAGGTTTTCTATGAGATCAGTTGAAGGACTCAATCATACATTAAGGATGTAGACTCTGTACGTGGATATAATTTAGATCTACAAACAGAAAGTTTCAAATTTTTATTGGAGATCGTAATTAAAATGTTAAAAGCTGTTTTCTTTTCTCTTCGATATTCTAATGGATAGTAATTTTTTTTCAATTTGTTTTTACGTATTATATAACAGAGGCCTCCGATTATCCCAAAGATCATGAAGTTATTTGATACAATATTAAAAAAGTTATTCTATTTTGAAGTGTGTCCGAATATTAATGGGAGTACGCCTCATCTACTTCATCACCAAAATTCAAAATTTATTATTTATGGTGAAGCATCCCTTGTTCCAACCAGGCTTGAAGATTTCTAAATTGCCGCATTAATAATTAACGATTAAATTCTTTAATTTAAGTCGTTCATTGGATTATTTTTAATTAAGAATTGAAATTCTAATTTCTCCTTATGAAGGTAATTAAATGATTTTAATTCGTAATTAGTTAAATTTGAATTAAATATTAATTTGTTGGTGTTCAATTGAAATAAAGATTTAATTGCCAATTACAACCCTGGTTGCCCTCGGTTTTATTTAAACGCGACAAATCGTTCAAATTTAAAAAGCGTGTAATTAATATTTTGTTGCAGGTACTAGGTCAATCTAAAGTTACATTTGCACCATCAATCAGCATGATCAAAAAATGTATCGAGGCCCTTATAGATAAGCAGTATATCGAACGTACGCCGAACAACGCAGATGAGTATTCGTACGTGGCATAATTTAAAACGTACCATTCGACACGATCATTAATTTATTTCATTCAGGGTGCTTACACGATCGTTTCGTGATATACCCACGCCGATTATTAATTTTTAATCTTTAAACCGCCAGCGTTAGCAAAACGTCTTTGAAAAGTCACAAAAATGTATCGAGGATATATAAAGTACTCATCGATTCTCGAGCTGATATTTCGGCTTTCCGGCGGTATAAAGTTTAACCAAGATAACACGATATAAACGAAAATTATCGTATCGCATTTCGAAAGTGAACAGGAAAATCTGTTGTTGAGAAATTAATAAACGAAATAAAACTGAATCTCTTCCACGTTTGGAAAGACCGAGCAAAGCACCCTGAAAGCGCTTACTTGCTCCTAAATCAATCGATTAAATAACTTAGTTGATTCAATGAATTGTAATATATGTGCACGGAATAAACATGATGTTACTATTTTATGGCTGGGACAGTTTTTCATTATAGTTTCTCGATAGTAAAAACTTCATTCGCGATTTTTAATAACATCACATACACTTCTGAACAATTTTTTGCTTAGAGATTCATCGAATCCGTAAGAAGAATAAATCTTCGTATATATTTTTCCTTTACAAAATCCTATGTAACAATATTTCAAGATATATTCGACTTTTCATAGTAAATATTTGGTCCTTCATATACTAAATCGAAAGGCTCAGTGGAAAAGCGCAATTTCCTTAAAAAATTATAAAAGAGATATAAGTTATCTAATTACATATTATAAACTTCACTAACGTGTCTTAACATTTCGAAGCGTAATTTCCTTTTATTAAGTCCAATAAAAGGTTTTGCTAGTTCCGACACTTTTCCTCTGAGATCCTCATAATTACATGAGTCCTTCGATGAGTAGACACAAAACTTGCTGTCTTCATACGTTTTATTCAATTAATCTCCAACTTGGGAATAGAATCGTACTGTGAAATAGATAAATACTGAAATTCATCGAATAAACCGTATGAAAATAGCGTTTGAAGGATTCGCGTTTAACGCGCACGAAACATGCTGTCTTAATACGTTTTATCCAATTAATCTCACAGTTCATCTATTTCTTTATACTTTCTATTACAGAAAATTGAAATTCATTCAAGTACTATACTTAGGAATAAAATCGTACTAACGTATAAATTAATACTGAAATTCATTGAATAAACCATATAAAAGCAGCATTTGAACTTCTTAGTACGTTTTATTCAATTAATCTCATAGTCCATTTATTTCTTTAGACACTACTTAAACAAAATTATGACATCACGAAATTTATGTCAAAAATTGCTCATTAAATTTATTGTGAATTAAAAATTTCTAGATCACATTCTAAAGTAGAAGTTCCAAGCTTTAATTTAAAAGAAAAATCATCGTCCTACAATAATCTGTTGTTGAGTAATTATCTTTCAAATTTGAACAATTTTCAAAACAAATTTTGTGATACCATAATTTTTGTTTAGGAGTATACTTTCTGTTAGACAAAATTGAAATCTATTCAAGTGCAGTATACTTAGGAATAGAATCATACCGAGAAATAGATAAATGAAATTTATTGAATAAATCGCATGAAAACAGCGTTTGAACGAATTAACATGTTTTATCCAATTAATTTTACAGTCCATCTACTTCTTTAGACTTTCTATTAGAGGAAATCGAAATCTATTCAGCTATGGTATAGTTAGGAATAGAATCATAGTAAGAAATAGATAAATACTGAAATTCATTGAATAAACCGTATGAAAATAGCGTTTGAAGGACTCGCGTCTAACGTACCAATTGAAACTGGTACCGCAACGCTTCTGATGATCATATATTGCACGATACGACGGTAATATTAAAGAGGCATCGTTAGACACTTTGTTCTTCGATAAAGAGTTCAATATACGGAATGTTAATTATCGAGTTACGCTACAGTGTAGAAGACTCGGGGTGGGTACTATTAGGAACGAGGAGTTTTCAGTTGCAACAGTTCCGGATCCAGCAACGGATTGTCGTCCGTCTCTGATTCTAACGGCTTGTTCATGCTGTTGACTACGAGAGGAGACGCGGTTGCCGTGTTACTGTACGGCGAGAATCCTGCCCATTCCATGCCCAGATATATGGGAGGCGGGCTGCCCAACGGTGGCTCCAGCAGCAGGTGATCCGATTGCTGTTGCTGTTGCTGTTGTTGCTGCTGCTGCTGCTGCTGCACTTCCTGGCAGTCGGACGGTGGCAGATGCGAGGTCAAGTGAGTGCTCACTTTGCATTGCTTCTCCTGTTTACGCCACTTTGCTCTTCTGTTTTGGAACCATACCTGGAGACAGATATTGAAGTTCAACTTCGCGGTTGTAACGAACAAATTCGTTTTTAATCTTATCTATTAGTGACTCCTATTAATATTCATATACACTTCAAAATAGAATAACTGTTTTAATATTGATCATTCTCATTTTCTTCGAGATGTTAGGAGGTCTCATTTACTACATATTTAACAAAAAATTTAAGAAAATTACCATTCGTCAGAATCGCGAAGAATTATATTAAACTTTTTTATTATGATGTCCAATAAAAATTTGAAACATTCCGTTTGTAGATTTAAGTTATATGCTAAGAGAAAAAGTTTCACAAAACTGATGAAAGCATACAAAAGTTAGACAATAGAAACATGACAAAATTCTTCGATTTATCTCAGTTGTAGACCGGAAGTCGTTAAGAGCTAAGGTTTTAGACATTTCTATTCGTTCTTAGCACATAGCAATATTAACTGATTTTTATGAAACTTTGAACATGCATGTATAACTTACTTACAATTAGATCTATAAACGGATTGTTTCAAATGTTTATTACAAATCCTAATAAAAAAGTTAAAAATCATGCCCTTTGCCTTTTTATTCGAGACTTCGATGAATAGCGATTTTTAAATAGAATAGCGAGAATGTGACTGAGAATTTGACCACCGAATCGATCCTCGTATCATAAAAAATAATTGAGATATTTTAGATGAAAGTATTAGACGACTCATCCTGTATAAAATCATGAGAAATTATAGTCGAATTAGAAAAACGAAGGACTTCAGAGTTTGTTAGTTCGTTGCAGTAACATCATCCATTTGCTTACATGATAGATGTTTAATACCTGCACTCTGGCCTCGGTCAGTTGTATACGTAGAGCGAGTTCTTCTCTAAAGAACACGTCAGGGTAGTGTGTCTTCTGAAAGGCTCTCTCCAACTCTTCCAGTTGGAAGTTGGTGAACGTGGTGCGATACCGGCGTTGTTTCCGTTTACCAACTGCGGACGATTGTCTGTCTTCGCTTCCCGGACTTGGCGAGAAATCGTACGCTACAAAAGAATGTAATTCATTCCATCCCAACTGAAGTGTACGTATACCCTAAATAATGATTCAACGTTGTTTAAGGCATCAAACTAAACAATAAGTATAATCGGCGCACCTAATAATAGCCGATATACCCCTGTACTTTCAATTGAGTGAAATAGATTCACATTAATGGTACAATTCCCGACTCGCTTAGCATGCACACAAGCAAAAATTAAATTTTTCTAAATGAATAGAATGGACTAAATATTCCAATTTATACTCATTGGCTTATTTCTTCATAATTTTAAGATATCTTAAATATTTGGTAAGTGAAATTATAGAAAAATATAATTTTCTAATATAAGTTTCTATAACTTTAATTTATTTTATATCTTTAAGGTATAAAATTATAGAACAAAAAATCTTTTAGATGTAAGATATAAGGCACAAAATATCTTTAAAATATAAAATTGTAGAAGAATAAGACAGTGAGTAGAAATATTATGACATGAACAGAAAGTGGAACATTTACTTGAACCACTCATTGTATCGTATAATAACGTTACAGCTATCTGAAAGGTCTCCCCACATTTCCGGGTCCTCTAACTTGAATTTCAATAGTGTTTTATCAAAATGAAACTTGAAATAAAAGAATTCTTCTAATGTCGACGAAATTAAGTGACATGTTTCAGAGAAGTTGAAAGACTCTCAGGTACACTGAAAGGTAACAAACTTTTGACTATGATTTCAATGCGGATTTTAGCCAGAATTAATTTGCACTGCAATGGAGTTCAAATATTGTTACATGAATTATTCTAATCATCGTGTCACTGCGGTCGCCAGGAAATTTGCAGCTCGGGAATCGTTTCGGGTGACCGTACGATCTTTCGACGGCCGGCCGCACGATCTTTCGATGGCCGGCCGCGGTTAATCCCTTTGATTTTACACGGCGTAAAATGGTTCATAACTGTTTAAACAGATTACCGCTAACTCTATTTAAAACAAGGGCTGACGATTCGCTTAATGCATTTAGCAATAATTTAATTGAGGACTGCCCCAACTTACGGGAGCCCACGACAGGTAGAGAGAGCCAGTTAATTAAATCAGGTTCCGGGGTGGCAGGGTGCACTTACTGAATTTTGTCGGAAAGCAAACCGAGGAAGATTGCACGCCTATCAGACCGGCGAGAGCGGTCGACTGTAGATCTCCGCCGGGGTTGATCTCATCCTGTCCACCAGCCGAGGCGACGATCGCTCCGGTAGACACCAGCGGATCTCTCGGTGCCCCGACCAAAAACAATTGCCTGCCACTATCGTTCGCACTTTCGTCTTCTTCCTTTAAATCCATTGCAGTCCCGTCTGGCTTCCGTCTCGTTTAAATTAATTAAACCGCCGAATAATCGAAAACCCGCGGCCCCGGACGTTGGCCAGACCGAGCGAAGGATAGGCGGACGGTATAATTGAATCACCCAGGCCAGGTTGTTGAGAAGTTCGTGTGGGTACCACAGCGACTCCGCAACTCTGCTATTTCTTTTCTCTTTTCCTCCTTTTTTTCCTTACACCTGTACGATACAGACAGGGTAGGGGACAGAGTATATTCAACGTGAACTCCCTCAAGAGGGGTAGTGAAGCCTCAAAAATGTATTGCTTATACACCGCGAATCAATAGTACAGTGTAGAATAGAAAAATAAAAGGTTTATCCAGATGCCCATCTTCATCTACGTCCCAATTAATTTTATTCAAAACCCCAACAATTTCACGTTTATTTGTCCTGTCTACAAGTCAAATCACTGCTTCGCGAGGTAAGGGAAACGTCATAAGTATCAACACTATCACATATTTTCTATTTTTTTTATTGAATCAGTGTAGTGTATTACAATATGTACAAAATTTGCTACGTTCATTTGTATTTAAATAAAGATAGTGCCTTCGAAAGTGCACATTTCACAAATTTCAAGTAACTTTTTTTCAAGCTTGTCAAGCCGAAATGTGCTATACATTTCGCTCATGCAAAATGTGAGAAAATACATTCGGCAAAGTGCTGTCAGAGTAGGTGCGTAGAAGTATGCTCAATATGAACATTGTTTCGATATTATCATCGTATGCCATCCGGTCTCTGACTTTATTTTGAGACACATTTGTTGGTCCCATGTCTTGTAATATTTGATATGGAACGTTTATTGCTCAGACGTAGAAAAGACGAACTTTGCTGGTAGAGACTAATAAATCATCGTCGAAGAACTTCGTTTCTATCACCACATTTCCACTGAAAGCAGATAAAAGTTACGTATTGCGATAAGACTAAAAATATTGATGAATCCGCTGTTATGAGCTATAATTAAAGTATTCTAACATATACAAGAGTATTAACTTCTATGAACAATTGTAGAGAAACTACAATGAATTATAAACTTACTTTAAAATATTAGCAGGCATCATTTGACTCTCTGGGGCAGCGTATATCATACTTTGCCAGGTGTTGGTGCTGTTAGGTATTACAAATCCAAATCTAAAGAACCACTCTTCCAGGCACCGACCTTTGAACAATACCTTCTGTTCTAGCCTAAACCTTTCCATTGGTTCTGCAGAACTAAAATTAATTTCTCGTGACACTGCTCGACATTTCAGTATCTTCTTCGGCACCCTTGCCTCGTGTTCCACGTCAGGTACAGACCTTCAATCAATAAATTGTCTAATTACGATACATTCTTAATATATTTAAGCTCCCAATTCATCATTAATACTTCGACATAAAAATGTATACTTACAAATCTTCGTTCCCTTGCCATAATATTTTACCGGTGTAGGCATCACGTAAATTCATCCAGTTCCTGTAATAAATATCAACAATACAGTTAAGAAGCAAAACTAATCACTATTAATAGATAATACAAATGTGTTTGTTATTAGCTATAACCTATAAACAACCATCTAGCCAAGTTACTTAAGATCTATTTGCAACAGGTAGAATATATTTAAAAAAAAGCATACACTTGAAAGCCCTTGAGTATATCTTCAGCCCGGGAAGGCATAATTAATCTTACGAGGCCAACTGCACTTGTGTCACTAGCGCGAGTGTTATACTTCTAATGTCCAAAGTACTGTTACAATTTATTCAGGTATTATCGATTCGTTGCGGCGTAGACGTATTCTTCTCTTCTAGCAATTCGGGTTCTTTCACTTATGTACGTATAATTGCAAAAAAGATCGATTTGCTATTAGTTAATTTCCATTTATTTCAAACTTGAACAGGAATGATGATTTAAAATGCGAGTATTGGTGTAAAGAAATTTAAAATACTTCATTCTAAGAACTACTTATATAGTCTGTTAATTAATTTATAATTTTTAATGTATAATTATGCGATAATTTAATATGTTCGCTACGGTTTAATTCTGCATGTGCAGAACCATGCAGAACGCAACCGTCTAATCGGTTCAATCCCAATCCAATCTCACATCACGATAGCAGTGATAGTGATAGCACTCATGGCGACTCATGGCCAGCTGCGTCTGTAAATAGTGTGAATCCTGATATTCTGATCAGTGTTTGAATGTGAGGCCCAGTGTTGGGGAGTCCATAGGATTTTTTATAACTATATAGACGTCTAAAATAAATAATTAAATAACAATGTTGGGAACTCCGTGAGATTTTTTGGGCGTACGTACTACAAGTTACTACAGGGCAATCTAATGATGAACTTATTTTTTTCAATTTGAAGTACCATTAGATCCCAAGTGCGATGACAGATTTGGAATGCAAGGAATTTCTTGAAAAAATAATTTTGAAAGTAAAATTTGCGTCATCTGACTGCATGTTATTTAGAAAATCATTTGTTTAGTTTATTTAAACTGCGGCGATAGCATTGATTATATGAAGAAGGATTTTTTTCGCATGTGTTTAGGCAAGTTTTCGTACAGTCCTTGAAGCGAAGAATGAAAACGTGGATGCATATGTTAGTTTCCAAAAGCTAAAATATTATTTCAGTTCATGCAAATTACGATATACGTATATTTAGATTTAATCACATCAATGATCCTTATTATCAATTCTCATTAATATACATTCGTCTTGGCCTTGGCTACATTGGCTTCGGCTGAAATGGGCTGAAAGAAAAGAATCAGTAGCTAGGAAAGCTATCTGAAAACCGTCGGAAAGCCGTCGTAGAGTCGTCGGGAAAATACATGAAACCGTCAAAGCGGGTAGAGATCCTAAATAGCAGGCAGTCCGCATACCGATTCAGACTCTGAGGCCGAACTCGATTAAACGTCAGATCTGAAATTCCTGAATCTGAACTAGTGATGGGCACTATTCGACTGTACAATGTACAATGTTTATTTGAAGCTGATAATGATATAGCTGCAACAGGAAATATTTTAAATTGTTCTATACTCATTGTCAGTTATGATTCGGGTCACTGCACATACCATTTAATACATTGAATAATGGTGTAGTTGGGCATTCAAATCATTGTGAAAAATCACCGTAATTGGGAACGAACGTGATCAAATCATGAATGATTCGAAAGTAGCAGTTCTAGCGTTCTATCCATCACTACCACTATTCACAACAGAAGAAATATGGTGGAGTCAAGCTGCTGCTACTACATAGCACGCATGCACCATTAGAGAAGGACAGATAGTACCATCGTTTCTTTCTTTTCTTCCACTTGCAGAGGTCCCTATGGCTCACTTACTTACTCTACGTGTATTATCTCTATGGTGACATGAATGGTGCACGTAACATTATGAGGTACAATTCGTCGCGGGGGTCCACGGCGGTCGTTGTGCGGGTATACCGGAAGGGACGTTAAATAATAATAATAATTGAAAAGCATGTTAGACGCGAAACTCATAAATGAAGACCGGCGTAATTAACGGTCAATCGTGGCATTATCGCAACGCAAACTGCGGTTCTGGCCTGTTGTTATCATTGCTAGGCTCGTCAGAACATCTTAACCTCCACGAGGAAATATGTTTCCGCCGAGAGATTCCCCGAAGTCGGATTATATCAGTTTGAATATCCAGGAAAGCGCGACATTCGCGCGAGGAACATCACGTAGCCTCTGGAGGGTGAGTTGTATAAAAAATAAATATACTGTATCATTCTCTGCTTCTCAACGAGATTTAAAAAAAAAATTGTATCTTTGCAGCAATGGAACCAATTGTCGAGGTTTCAGAGAAATATCCTTTACTTTTTAGTCATTACTATTATATTAGTCATATTTTACTTGCTACCGGGTGATAATAAAAGCGGAGTTTTAGATGAAAGCGATTATAATAACATAGAGGTAGTTCAAGATACTCTTAAGTATGAAAAGGTATTGAAAATCTGATTCAAACACTTTTGTATACTGTTCAATTCCTTTGAAACATCCAATTTTTATAGGCAGTTGAAGATATTGTAGTGGATAATGTAAATCAGGAACATAAAGGAGGCGGTGAAGTTATAGAAGAGCCTGAATTCCAACCAGAAATAAACCAAGTGGATGACGATCAAATCGGTGAACCACCTCAGCCTAAACCAAATGCGCTTAAATTCAATGGTAACTTTTTGATAAATATAATTTTTTGTTAAATACAATTTTTAATCTATTGATGAGTCTATCCACTTTTCAGGGCCACAAAATAATAGGCAGAAAGCTGTCGTTGCAGCGTTTAAACATTCGTGGAATGGTTACAAAGAATATGCCTGGGGCTATGATAATGTGAAACCAATTTCAAGGAAATATTATGAATGGTTCGGCTTAGGTCTTACTATAGTCGATTCTCTTGATACTATGTACATAATGGGCTTAAATAATGGTAATAGTCTATCTTTTGTAAGCTAGTCTTCAACAATCTATAGATAACATTTTAAAATAGAGGTTTCAAGCTCTAAAAGAAAAATCGTTTTGTGATAATTTGTTGCTGAGTAATCACCTTGAAAACTTGGGTAATTTTCTACACAATTTTCGTGATACCATAATTGTTTTGAGTAGTATATTATTCACTCTCATGTTTCTGTTGTCTAAAAAATTGTGAGACATTCATTATATACAATTACAAAATATGCCAGTCATTATGGAAATACGTGTTCTGTTTCAGAATATTTAGAAGCCCGGACGTGGGTGGAGAAAAATTTAGTGTTCACTGTAAGTAGGGACGTTAATTTATTCGAAGTTACGATTAGAGTATTAGGCGGTCTATTATCAGCATATCATCTCTCAGGAGACAAGATATTCTTAAACAAAGCCGTAAGTTAATTGCCGTCTGTATATTTAAAACAATTATGGCTTGAAATTGAATGGATGTAATTCGTAGAACGCGTTGGGGGAACGTTTGATGCCGGCGTTCTCCACGTCGTCCGGTGTTCCTTTCTCGGACGTGAATCTCGGCACGAAAACTGCTCATGGGCCCAGATGGGGACCCGATAGTAGTACCAGCGAAGTTACTTCGATTCAGTTAGAATTTCGTGACTTAAGTCGCAGCACAGGTGATCCGAAATTCGAGGTAAATTTCATTGAACTGTAATATGAATTGAATGATTTTGTAGTACTTTTATACTATTGTACTCCCATATACAAGTGAACAATCTGGCTCTCATAACTCGATGTGTAATTTGCTTTATTAATGTTTCTGCTTAATGTATATTCTCATGTGCATAAAAGTGCTTTCAGCCTGTTTAATAAATAACTTAATGACTAAATAAATAAATAATGAGTCAACGTTTTAATAATACATTGTTTTAGGAGGCAGCTGCGAAAGTTTCGGACCATGTACATCAGTTAGAAAAACATGACGGTTTAGTACCGATTTTTATTAACGCAAATACTGGACAATTCCGAGACCATGCGACGATCACGCTGGGTGCGCGTGGCGATAGCTATTACGAGTATTTATTGAAGCAGTGGCTTCAAACAGGGAAAACCATCAATTAGTAAGTATCCAATAACGATATGCGAAAACCCGGTGATCAAAACAGAACGGAAATTTCGAGATTCTCAAGAATATTCCAATTTCTCGATTATCCTGAAATTTCCAAAATGTTTGGAATTCATAAAAATATTGAGGAGTTGATTAATGTTATGAGACTCAATAAAATGAAAGTAATAATTAGCCTTTTTACAAGAAAATTTGAAATAAAATATCATAATTATTACATACCAAATGTTTTCGACAATCCCGAGCATTTTCGAAAACTCGTTCTGATTCTAAGAAAAATTCTCGCCCCGACACTATCCGAAATTTTCCGGTTCTCGCACGCCTCCAATAATACTGTCCTCGGTTGAAAAGTGAATTTTTCTACAAATGTATGCAAATCTAATAACAAGTGAACGTTAAAATACTTTCAGTCTACGGGACGATTACCTGTCGGGTATTGCTGGGACTCAGAAACACTTAGTGAGACGTACAGCAATTAATAAATATCTATTCATAGCTGAACTAGTAGGAGCAAACAGAGACTTGACGCCAAAAATGGTAAGATACTAATCCTTTTCTTATCATATCTATTCATCATAAAAATCATTTGATGTCACAAATTACCTATTTTTGTTGGTTCTGTAGGATCATCTTACGTGTTACTTAGGAGGTACCTTAGCTTTAGGCGTGCATCACGGTTTACCGTCGGATCACATGGATCTCGCTAACGAAATCGTCAAGACTTGTTATCACACGTATGCGATTTCTTAATGACTAAATAAATAAATAATGAGTCAACGTTTTAATAATACATTGTTTTAGGAGGCAGCTGCGAAAGTTTCGGACCATGTACATCAGTTAGAAAAACATGACGGTTTAGTACCGATTTTTATTAACGCAAATACTGGACAATTCCGAGACCATGCGACGATCACGCTGGGTGCGCGTGGCGATAGCTATTACGAGTATTTATTGAAGCAGTGGCTTCAAACAGGGAAAACCATCAATTAGTAAGTATCCAATAACGATATGCGAAAACCCGGTGATCAAAACAGAACGGAAATTTCGAGATTCTCAAGAATATTCCAATTTCTCGATTATCCTGAAATTTCCAAAATGTTTGGAATTCATAAAAATATTGAGGAGTTGATTAATGTTATGAGACTCAATAAAATGAAAGTAATAATTAGCCTTTTTACAAGAAAATTTGAAATAAAATATCATAATTATTACATACCAAATGTTTTCGACAATCCCGAGCATTTTCGAAAACTCGTTCTGATTCTAAGAAAAATTCTCGCCCCGACACTATCCGAAATTTTCCGGTTCTCGCACGCCTCCAATAATACTGTCCTCGGTTGAAAAGTGAATTTTTCTACAAATGTATGCAAATCTAATAACAAGTGAACGTTAAAATACTTTCAGTCTACGGGACGATTACCTGTCGGGTATTGCTGGGACTCAGAAACACTTAGTGAGACGTACAGCAATTAATAAATATCTATTCATAGCTGAACTAGTAGGAGCAAACAGAGACTTGACGCCAAAAATGGTAAGATACTAATCCTTTTCTTATCATATCTATTCATCATAAAAATCATTTGATGTCACAAATTACCTATTTTTGTTGGTTCTGTAGGATCATCTTACGTGTTACTTAGGAGGTACCTTAGCTTTAGGCGTGCATCACGGTTTACCGTCGGATCACATGGATCTCGCTAACGAAATCGTCAAGACTTGTTATCACACGTATGCGATTCAACCCACGTTCCTTGCACCGGAGATTACTTATTTCAATATTCAGGTAATTAATCAAGTAATAATTTCAGTTATACCAGAAGGCAGTTGAAATTGTTTTTGATTACAGAACGCGGAAGGTGACAAGTCGATGGATATGTATGTGAAAGTAAACGATGCGCATAATTTACTTAGGCCCGAGTTTATCGAGAGTCTCTTTTACATGTGGTATTTCACGGGAAACAAAACTTTCCAAGACTGGGGATGGCAGATATTTCAAGTAAGCGAATCGAATAGTTTATTATTTGAGGACATTCACGTGGAAAATATTTTTTTTTAACTTACAATCAGTATTAATTTAAGTATCCTTTACATGTGTTCGAAAACTGAATATAGCATTAAAACTCGAGATATTCAAAGTTGAACCGTCTAATATGGTTGCAGATTTTTTTATTGAATTAACGATTAAATTTGAAATTTTAAGAGTTTTTAAGAAATATTGCATTAATAAAACACTGTAGAAAATTTTATAACTTGCGTGGCTGTTAAAAAAGTTATTATATCTTGAATTCTTACGTTGAATGACAAAATTTTCATTTAATTTATGGGAAAGTATAGATGCACCAATGAGAGAATTTTGTAATTTTGTATAATTCTTAATACATGATTTAAAAATATTTTAAAACTGAAATAATATTAACTTCGAGGATATTATTGAAGATAAACAATATAATCCTATCAAAAAGTGCTAAAACCATATATTAGAATGCTAGAATTAATACATTAAAAATTATCTGTGACGTAACACGTTAAGCGCGACGTCGGTCATCGGTAGTGATGAGTCGAGAACCCATCACTGGCTGTGAGTGACGAAGGTAAATTACGTTGATAATTCAGCAACGTCGCATCGATTCGTTCTGTGTACGAATGCAGCACGTGGAAAATTGAAATAATTACAAATTAATTCTAAATCCATTTTATGTTGTGTATTAATGCTCGTGAACGTCCTTAAGATAAATATAGTGACTCCCATTAATATTCAGATAAACTTCAAAATACATACTTTTTTAATATTGGATTAAACAACTTCATGTTCTTCGGAATGTTAGGAGATCTGATTTACTACATAATATGTAAAATTGGAACACATTGCAATTCGTCAGGATCTCAAAGAAAAAAAGAAGAGTTTTTAACTTTTTTATTAAGGTCTCGAATAAAAATTTGAAATATCCCATTTATAGATATAACTAAGTTATATGCACGTTACGTCAAATTCGGTATAAGTATAAGAAAGTTAGATACATCGATACATGTATATCGATACAAACACGAAAATTCCAGGAGGGCTTTATAATATTGTCGTGGATTGTAGTAAACTGAGACTTTTAACATCTCACAGAAAATGAAATTGTTCAATCCAATATTGCGCTTTAAAATGTATCCGAATGTTATTGAGAGTCACTGTAAGTAAATTTTGTACACTTGTATCAATGATGTACGATTCACCAGGCTTTCGAGAATTATACGAAAGTGGAGAAGGGTTACACTAGTATCGGGAACGTGAGGAACGTTCACAATACTGTGCAAAAGGACATGACGGAGAGCTTCTGGTTCGCCGAGACATTGAAATACTTATACTTGCTGTTCGACGATACGAGGCAGTTAATAGATTTGGACAAATGGGTATTCAACTCCGAAGGACACCCGTTGCCCATATATGAATCGTAATCGAACCCACCAAACGCCGAATTTCCGTGTTGGAGAGTCTAACTCTTTCTTTCTCTATAAAAGAAAAAAATATCTTTAAACGCGTATTAATATAATCACGTCCATAAGAAATATGAAGAGACACACAGTAGTAATAGCGTTTGAATTGTAAAAATTGCCATACGATGGGAAAGAAAGAATTAAACGTAATAGAGGCCAGTCAAAGAAATGCCGAAAACCGAATACGCGATAGGAAATTTAGTCTGATTAATGTACTTTAAACTAAGAGTAGATTTTCACTCTTTAGGATTACTTACTAGCGTTAGAGCTGGTTGCGAACATCACTACGACACAGATTCGTAAAGCAACAATCTTTTGTGAGAAGGAAGAAAAGGAAGCACAGAAGTTATGCATTTGCTAACTATTTATACTCGATTTTCTACTAATTTTCAAATTCGGACGCGTATTTAAAATTCTTGCTAGACTGCGGCTGTTCATTCGCTCAAAATAAAAAATGTAATATATAAATTAAGAACGCGTACAATTTTACTCAGGATAATTTTGAAATTTATCTTAACAATGAAATTGCATTAATTGAAATTTATGTGATTGTAATTGATAGTGTAATTACGTTATTTAAATCAAGTATAGATTGTTCGCAGGTAGATATTTTATGATTAAAATTTGATTTAATGATTCAGAAATTTCGAAGCCGCCTCCTTCGGTATTTGAAAGCATTTCTATGAACATTCGCAGTCTAGTGCAATTACAAATGCAGTTTCGTAAAGGAACAATCTTTTGTGAAAAAGAAAGCGCAGAAATTACGAATTTATACTGGACTTTTTACTCTTTTTTAAATTTGGAAGCGAATTCCAAATTCTTGATAGACTGCGGCTGTTTATTTGTTCAAAATAAAAAAATGTAATGTATACGTTTAAGATCGATAAAATCACATTCTCGAAATAAATTTCAAGCCCAAATTAATGTGAGACAGAAATTTTATGATTAAAATTTGATTCAATGTCTCAGATATTTTGCTGAGGTAAAAATTTTACGATACAAAATTTGATTTAATACTTCAGAGATTTCAAAATCCTCTTCTACAAATTTTCAAAACATTTCTAATTATGAACGTTTAGAGCTCATAGTACGGTCACAATGTTTCGCAAAGAACCAATTTTTTGTCAGAAGGAAGAAAAAGTATAGAAATTTTGCATTTCCTAACTGTTTGTACTCGATGTTATTATTAATTTGTAAATTGGGAAAATAATTCCAAATTCTTACTAGACTGCAGCTGGTTATTCGTTCAGAGTAAAGAAACAAGTCTGTAAAATTACATTCCTAGAAGAAATTTCAAGTATAGATTACTCAATTCTGGGGCAGGAATTTATAATATGTACAAAATGTTATGCCTCAGAAATTTCGAAGTCGTCTTCAGTAGATTTCTAATACACTTCTGTAAACATCCACAGTCTAATGCTATTACTTCCGTAATAATTAACATAATTCGGGATCACACTTACGAACTGTATCAGAGTTGCCGGGTACAATATTTAAAAATAAAAAAAACATCGTTCTGCTACGAATTCTTTTTTCTCCTCAGATCAAATAGGATACTATAATCACTTTGTACAAATTTCTAAGTGAACCGTGGTGGCGCAAGTTTTTTTATGTACTTTAAAATCAAAACTCGTAAAGTATATTTTATAACACAAAAATTTTCGATTTCATATTAGTAATCTTTCAGTAAAAACATATTTATATTTGCATTTATCTTTTAAAATTTCTGTCTAACAAGATATACTGTTGGCAATATATATAAGTTAGTTTAGTAATTGGGATAGCCTCGTACACATAAGTAGATTGCGGATTTTTTGTAAAATAAATGTTTAGTAGTATATTTCTTAATCTTTTAAACACAGCATACATGTTGCTATTAATATTTTAGGCAGTTTTGTTTTATGTACTGTATGTATTCTTTTACATACCATGTTTTGTTATAAATGCATAAAATCCGCAGTCTGGACGTAAGAGAATAGACCGAGTGTTCAATATATTTTTGTTGATCTCCCAGAAGATAGAGAAAACATGCTTTTTCTGTTCCTCCACTTTACATACCAGTAAAAAAGTAAGAAACTTTCCTATTAATGTTCTTTCTCTCTACCTATCACCTGATCTCAAGTCTCCTACTTGATCATTCAGTCTATTCTCATGTATAGGCTGCGGATTTTATGCAATTACACTTGACCTTTCTTTTTACATGATTTTGAAGATACTGGTGCATTTTTTTTTACAAAAGTCGCTATCTTTCGGAAACGGTGTGTGATAGAGCAACTCTGCTTCCGGATTTGTTCTTGCCATGAAAAAATCTATAAAAATCACGTAGTGAATATTGCAAAACCGGAAAAAAGTTGTTTTTTGTTGGATTGTGTAATCAAAATAGAAAATCTATTTCTATGAACACGAAAATAAAAATTTTAGATTTCTTGGCAAATGACGAGGGGTCATTCTGTGTCGATGAAACTTTTGGTTTAAACGAAGCAACAATAAGGACCACAAAAACGAATTTTCTTTTATTCGATGTGCTCTCACCTCGTAAAAAGAGGGTCGTGAGAAAATTGAATATGCAAAAATGATAAATGCCACGTGTAATAAATCACGTGTACAAAACAATATGAAAAGTTGAATCAATATCCCAAAGTTCAGATGATTAAACAAATGTTTATATTTTAACACGTTAAGCATCAAACCAGTTTTGTTTTCCTTTCTGTTTAGCCGTTAATTACTTTATTAACCATTGTTTTAATAATGTTCATTAAAAATTTACTTAGTAACATATAATATATTTGCATTCTTTTATAATCTCCAAATTACTTAAAATTTATTAGTAGAAGAATATAATTTTTTAAATTGTATACAGTTAACAGTGACTGATACAACCTGACAAGGGCGCTTAACGTGTTAAACTGATGCCATAAATATATTATTTTGTATAAAGATCTGCTATCTACTCATATTCAGTGACTGCTATTAATATTCGGACTCACTTCAAAGTAGAATAACGTTCTTAATATTGGATAAAACAATTTCATTTACTTTTTCATATTCGGAGGCCTAGTTTATTACATAATATGTAACAAAAAATTGAAAACATTACTATTTGTATATTATAAACACAAAAATTGTATATTGGCATAATTATGAACACAAAAATATTTTTAGTATCGTGTGAGCCCCACTGAACCATTCAACTTTATTCTTAAAACATTTGATGTATCTTTAAAAACAACAAAGATACTTAAGGTGCGAACGTTAGATGACTCACCCTGTATAGTAAACTAAGCTTTGTAACATCCCATTGGAAATTAAGTTGTTTGATTCGATAGGAAGAAGTTACTCCGTTTTTAAATATTTCCGAATATTAATGGGAGTCAATATCTATAGATGGCCCAAGAAAAGTTACTTACAACGCGTTTTCAAAGATCCTAGTCAAAGTAGACCTTCCTTCCTCAGTTTGTTAATAAATGTGCAATATTCTATTTGTTTGCTAGATGTAGAAATAGTTAAGTTATAAAAGAACATGCACTGCTCTTCACTTCAATAGCCTCGAGTAAAAATTGATATATGTATGTAAAGTTATGTCAACGAAAGTAATTTTGTTGAAAATTCTTGCTTACTAGTTAGATCCGTTTACATTATAAATTATAAGATGACATTAGTTTATATTGATGTAGACACTTGGAAAATACGTTGTTGTCTGAAATGTAACAGGCTTCTGACTTCCACATGAATAGTCTCAAGTGTTTAGTCACAATTAGTTGATGCTTTGTGATATATCTGAAAATAAATAGTCATAACTATTTTACATTTCACCATTTTACGTATGTATGTTATTTTATTAATATTAAATATAGTTCCCTACGGAGGAGTATAGCCCTAATATGGGCTAACTGAGGCTGTTCAAGTGAAGAACACTCCTATACCCTTCCTAAAAGGGTTTGTATCGAATCATCGCCCATGTTTTAATCGACAACATTTTACCGACACTGAGTTCGCTGGCAATGAATTCACTGATGGTGAAATTACTGACATTGACATACGAAACCGTATTTGTATACCATTATAAAGTAATAACTGAGGTATCATTATATATTGACATAATTGTAAAATTATAAGATAATAACTATACATTGAACTACGTAAGAATAGTAAACGTACTGAGTACATCTTAAGGATGTATTGGCTATACAGCCAATCCCAAAAGT